GGGGTTACCTGCAAGAACAGGTGTTTAATGTGGATGAGACTGGATTATTTTGAAGCAAATTCCAGATAGAACAAACATTACCTTAGAGAAGAGTGAGCCAGGTTTTAAGGCTGTATTAAAGGGTATAGCTGAACTAAATATCCATATGTAATCTTTTCATTTTTTACAATATGTTTGGTATCTACAAGAGTAAAGTTGGACTTACAAACAAGCCTCAGGAACGTAATTCGTTCGTAAGTAGAGAAGCACCTGCATACAGTATGTTATCTAGCATCTTTCCTTATCTCCCAGTTTTCTTTAATTGGTGTGATAATGAAGGTGGTGCTTATCCAGTTCTCCCCATATATAATATAGCTGCCAGTATTTGCTGTAGGGGATATCGCTATGTCTTTCTTATTTGATACATTTGTAAAATTTATTCCCCATGACCTTGAAATATTAATCTAGTTATACTGTACCCACAATTTACTCATGAGAAACTTAGGTGATTAAATATCCACACCAATTTACATTAAGTTTAATATCTTCAGTTTGATTTCCTTAGTCATCAGATAATTTGGTTAAATGGGATAATATCATTACAGTATTAACTAGTTGAAAGTTTTTGATTTCACTTATTAAAATTGCTAATTCCATTAAAATTTTTAAAAATGTTTGCTTTAAATTGCTTATTGTTCTTTTGCTATTGTTAACCTTTATATGTGGCACAAGATGTACTGATATTTCTCCCATATTATACAGTAATAAGTGTACAGTACATTAACAATAGAATTAACATCTCTTAGTACAGGTACTTTTAATCACCCTTCTAGTGTGAACATCACACTTACATTAACTCGTTTTGAACATTTCACAAGTTTTTTATATTAATATAATTCAATGGAAATGTATGTCAGTAAATTATAATAATGACTTTCCACATGTCATTTCTGAAAGAGAAAGAAAAAGTTAATCATCACTATTTTATGGCTATTTTCCACACCTGTGAGTGAAGTGAAATTATTCTTTTCTTACTCTGGCTTCACCTGGACACCATCAAGTGCCTGACAGCCATTCCCTTAGCTTCACCATTGTGGTCAATTAAGTTTTATTTTTTACTCAGACTCGACCTGCGGACCACCAAGGTCCTAACGGCCACTCCTTGAACTGAACCCTACAGGTTCTCATAATTTTTAAACCAAGTCTTTGCAGAGTAGTGATACAGTATTTTTAAATTCATAGATATTATGATCTATGCCATTTTTCATACATTTTACTATTTATATCATATTTTATCTTCTGCAGGGAAACTTCAATAACTCCTTCATTTACTGAATTACACACACCACCAGTTAATCTACATTAAACATGTGTACTGTAAAGTTGTTGAGGCTGCCTAGTTATAAAACCAACTCCAGCTGTGGTGAACCGTGTCTTGTTGAAGGATATGATCACTTCCCTTAGCATGAATAAACAGATTTTGCATTTGTAATCATATGTTTACATAAAAGAAGCATGCTGGGTTGTATCCAATTTATTATTTGGTTATAAAACTTGTACCTACAGGGAGGTACTACCGCCTGGGAAGATATTGGAAGCATAATGTGATGTTTGATGGTAGACCCTGCTGCCATATGGCATAAAAAAAATTGTGACCAAGTTCCAGGTTGCTGATCAGACTTTCCGCCCCATTTACACACAATTGCAGGGTCTCCATTGTTTCTCTTACTATTGACAACACAACACATATATATTGTTTCTCACATTTGATCTTTTCATTTCTTTATGGTTCTTTATTATTATTATTATTACAGTGTTGCTATTATTATTATTTTTAATTGTGTATTTTTTATTATAAATTTTATTTACTATGAATTATTATTATTACATTTTCGCCCCCCCAGGCCCTGATGTGGGTTAGTGACCTGTGCCCTGGGGGGCTAATCCCCAAAATCAATGGGGACATACCATACGACATACAACTGGAACTTTACTGCTGTATGAGAGGTAAGGCTTGTTTAAACAATCTGCTTTACTTTGTAAGATTGCAGACTACAGTACATTATTATGATTCAATAGAAAAGAAAGAAAATTTGAAAATAGTTGCAAATAAACTTGAAATACAATACATATATACTGTACTCGGTACTATAAAGAGAAATTCAATTTATTTTATAAATGAAGTTTGGAAATTAAAATACATACTTTGAGACATTAACAATAAATAAATAAGAACAATGCCACAAGTTTGTTTACTAAAGATTTGGCTTTGATCATGTTGGCTTCACTTATGATCCATTCTGTGTTATGTTTCTCAAAAAGGGATATTTATTATTTTTCTAACAATATTAAATGGAAAATATATTACTGAAAAAATTTTGCTTTTAATTTTTACCTGAATTGGGGTTACATATAAAAGCAGCTTTTTTTATTAGGTACAATTACATTGTTTTCAATTCTTACATTATGAAAAAAATGTGAAGCCTTTTTACTACAGTAGCATCAGATAAGTTTAAAATATCAGGCATGGGATGGATTGTTTAGAGAACACTGTAAACAGACCAAAATTATTGAAAGATTTACTATTATTTCATATACAGCTCCTCCCCGACTTACGACCTACCCGACTTACGTCCACCCGCACTAACGACCTGCCTCAGTCGTACCAAAATTTGGTCAAATTACATATTTTCGAGTCCCAAAGTCAGTACACAGACAAAATTTTCATCTGTAATTCACTTTAAAATGGCTGACAAGCTTAAAAGTGAGTGTTTTGTGGTGCTGAGAAAAAAAAAGAGACACCCATTTTCGATTTTCTATGTATTATTTAAGCATTTCCGACTTACGACCTGGATGTCGGTCCCTAACCCCGTCGTACGTCGGGGAGTAGCTGTACTGTACTGTATACAACTGTTACAAATCAATGCTGGAAAATCCATCATATAAAAATAATAGATAAAGAGAGTTGGCAGCACACAAGATGAAGAAGCACCCACAGTGTCCAGCTGCTCTAAGTGACTATGAGGTGTATGAGATTCAGCTACCCAGTCCATGCTGCTGTGCCAACACTATTCATGCTGCATTTTACGATGAAACTATTTGCAGAAGCGAGGTGTTATACGTACTGTACACACCCGATATTTTGGTACATGGTCCCAAGGTCCAACAAACCAAAGTTATAATTATATCTTTACTTCACAATGTCGTGAAGTTTACCACCCTGTCAATTCCATGGGAAAGTAAACATGTGGTGTTTTACTGTACAGTAGACTCTTGCCATTCGGGGATCTGTAATTCGCGATTTCGATGATTCGCGGTAAGCAAATGGTGACCATGGTGGCTAGCTTGCAAGCCTTTTCCCACAGTATCTCGTGTTGTACTCTCAAAACTTTAGTGTTTCTGTATGAAAATGGCCCCAAAAAGGCTGCCTAGTGTCAGTGCTAGCGATGCTAGTGATGTGAAGTGTAAAAGGCAGAAGTCAGTGATGACCCTGACAAAGAAAGTTGAGTTATTAGACAAGTTAAAGGAGGGAATGAGTGCTGCCACTGCTGGTCGGTTGTTTGGTTTAGGTATACTGTACAGTAGTGCACAAGGGAGTATAAGTTGCTATTCATTTTGCCTATTTGCGTCATTCCTTGGAACTTAACCCCGTGAATAACAAGGGTTTACTGTATTTCAAACTACAGTACTGTCCGTGCAGGAATCCCTCAAACCCGGAATTCTCCGATAGCCAGAATTGAAATTTTCTTGGAAAATCGTTCCCCAAGCTGGAAGTTTCCGGAAAATTTTCCCGATGCCCGGAAAATTCTGGGGGATTTTTTTCCGGGTTTAAAAGGTGAAAATCAGGCACATTTTCTGAAACTTCTGAGAACATTTTTCCGTTGCCTGGAAAATTCCGGGGATGAGGGATATTTTTACGGGTTTGATAGATGATGTAATGGGCAATTTCTGGAACTTTCTTGAAAATTTTTCTGTTACCCGGAAAATTTCGGGGATTAGGGATTTTTTTCTGGCTTTCAGAGTCGTCTCGTTACCCAGAAATCTCTCATTCCCAGAAGTGCTCTGCACCAATTGTTCCAGCCAACGGAGAAACACACACACGATACTGGTTTACGGAAAACTAGCCGATTAAATATTTATATTACTTCATGAAAATTAACAAATAAACACAAAATATGACTAGAATATAAAATTAGATTAAGATACAGTGGTCCTTCGGTTAACGAACACAATTCCACAGAGTCGTTCGTTAACCAATACATTATTTCAATGAGATATTGGGTAATTGGTTCCAGCTCATAGAAAAGTACATACAAAGTAAAGCCAAAAACACATAAAGTCAGAAACACTCCTAAAATTCCCCTAAATCGCCCTTAAATCACTATATATATACTGTATATATATATATATACGTACATATACACTCTTACTCTTAAATCACAACTGTAATGTGATACAGGTGATTAATTTTTATCTCTTGTGCAAAATATATGTTTATATTCAAATTATTCACTGTCTTGCAAGGATTCCAGCAATGCAAATTATTCTCCTAACTTCAGTCTGAGATATTATACAAGATAAAAACTATAAGTCTAAAACCCTGGCTGGGCAGATGGGGGAGAGAGGGAGGGAGGGAGGGAGGGAGTGTGGGGGGGGAGGGGGAGGTGAGGTAATATGATTGACATTTAGCACCGAAGGTCTAGTGAAGTATTTATTTGTTTATGTCCTTTAGATTGAGTTTTAGTTTTTTGCTTATAAAATTTCATAGAAGTGACCGGGGAGAAAATAATTTACATTGCTGGAATTCTTATAAGATAGTGATTAATTTGAATGTAAACATGCAATAGTTTGCACTAGACTAAAATTTTAGTATTCATTTTGTACATTATTTTGATTACATGTACCGGTACAGTACAGCTTTGCCCTTAGGACAGTGTGTGCATGTAAATGAGTTTCAATAAATGAATAAAGTTACATATATCGAGCCAAAAATAATAGTTGACAAACTTTATGTAGACAGAGCTTGGATGGCTAAATTTTAGAATGACCAATAATTTTAATATAAAAAATGCACAAATATTAAAGAGCACAATTTTCTTGATATTTAATCCACTGGAAACGAATGTAAACATAGAACAGATTACCCGGTACTGAATTGGCAAACTATCCCATCAGCTGATGCTCACAACAAAACGTGATGTTCATAAGGATTTCGTTAATCAAATTTTTGTTCGTTAACCGAATTGAAGATTCTTATGGAAGGTAATTCGTTAACCGAACCATTCGTTAACTGAGGGACCACTGTACAAGAAAAACATGTAGCATAATGGATTTAAAGATAGAGGAGTTCTGGCAGTGTGAAGAAGTATCGCATGACAATGTTTAAAGAAAGAATTTTTAAAGAGTGCCAGTAAGTTTTGTGTGGAACATATAAAAACTAATGAAGACAGTCCATATGTGTTTGAGTGCGTAACACATCTGTGAAAGCTTCCTGTCAGGATGTCTGGCCTCAAGTAAACATGGGAGAGAACTAGCATGGGGCACTGTGAATCTGCTGCTGTTCAATGTTTTTTACTATACAGTACTGCTATAATACTGTACTGTACTTACATTGTGGATAACATGATCCTTGGACTGTAATGTCTATGAATGACTCAAGTCTAATTTTTGGGATAAAACATCCTCTCATAAAAGAGAAAATTACTTTTACATAAAACTGAATTTTCTGGAAACATAGCAATGTATTGTACACTATAATCCTAAAGAAAAGATTCATTGATAAAAAAGTTATGTAATTTATCCAGAATTTTTTGGGGAGTTTTAATTAACAACATTTAAAAAATCTATGAACAACTATTCTTACATTACTAATAATACAATCTGAGATCTTTTATTACCTAATATTACAAAGATATAAAAGTAACAAAAGTATTTTTTCTAGTCTATGTGTCTAGACACTTTTGTATAAATAATGCCCTGTGACCGTAGTTTCTTTTTCACCAGCCAAGCTATCACACAAGCTGTAGAGATGACATATATTGAAATCACTGTTATCTCTTGAGGCATGTGGCACTTGTAGATGGAATAGTTGTTGGAGCTCACAGTCAGCTACCACAAATAATTATCAACTTTAATAGACTTGCAGTATGTCATGCCCAATTTGTTCATCATATTTATCAAACTTATACCATTTAAAACACTGTACCTTATAGTCAACAACATGGATCTGTACACCTTTTACCAAGAAAATACACTACGCTACAGTACTCCATTTCATTCACTGAAACTTGCTTATGGATAATATCTTTGAAAATGGATTACCTTCACAATGACAAACAAAATCATTAGCAAAGTTTCAAAAGGTGCTAAGAAGATGAGGAAGCAGAAGCTGCCGAATACTGAACAAAAAGTATATAGTATATACATGAGTTGAGGAATCAAACATGTTACACCACGAACAAAAAATCTGTTGAGTTTAATACTGGAAAGTTAATTGTGAATGCATTTTACAGGAAAAAGATAACTGTATCTTCTTAAGTTCTATTATACTAACGAAAATGATAAGGATATGAGTGACTGTAAGTGCTATGAAAGCCAAACCTTAAGCAACTACCCCTGCCTCATCTGACCAGTAATACACTCCCACTCCTAAGAATAATGTTTAAAGACCATATGGGGGACTACTGCACCACTTTAAATGAGGAAATGGTACTAGATAATCCAAAAAATTTCTTTAAATAAAATTTTGGTAAAAGATCATTAATACAGAACAGATGTCTGTACTAGGGGACCATTCTATTATCCTGACTTCTCCAGGTCTCAAGGTGTTCAGACACTACGTTGTTGGCTGGATGCTGACTATATGACATTAATGATATTACAGGTTTCATATAATATTATCATTCTGGGACTAAGGACCTCAAATGTTTAGCTTGATGTATGAAATGTCCCCAGCACAAGTTTTCTGACTAGTACTGTGTTTTCTGTGATATAACTGATTACCTGTACTGTATATGTTCAAATAGCAACGGTACTGTAGTTAAGAACTCATGCACCTTAACACATACAAGTTAAGAACTGAGAGATATGACAATTTAGGTCTTAGAAAAACATCTAATGGTAACTTACCATAGAAAATGTTGGGTTTCTTTTATTACGCCAAGAGAATGAAGGAATGGTGTACTCATGTGTGGCTGATCCTTGGTTCATGTGCTTGACGTGGCAACCATGATGAGTGTGACCACTGAGAACCAGCCGAGGTGATAACAGTTCCAACAGCTGTCATAAGGTCAAATTTTAGTATGTGGAAATTCTGATTCATTATTATTTTTTCCTTATCTATTTACACCTTTTTTTAACAAATTAATAAACATATTAATAATATTAACACATTATCACAAGCACCTATCTTTTAAAACTGGGCACAGTAGCACAAAAAGGATGTTAATCAATTAGTTGTGGTTAATCTTCAAATCTCCACTACATCTGCACTGGTCACAAAACTTGCAAAAAATTCGGAATATTCAATTTGGCTATACTGTACAGCACTATACTGTAGATAAAACAACTGCACTTTCTATGAAAGTTATTACAAATGGCATAATACAATTATACATAATTAGCATTAGAAATTTAAGACTAATATACTGTACAGACTAATTTTCTTTTCTTTACTTTAACACAAATTACATGAGAATAAATGAAGAGAAATTGGACAGTCAGACAACTGGCTGAGTGACGGTGTGTGGTGGTGTGAGTAACAGGTCACTTGAGTTTGAGGAGTAAGTTATATGATAACTGCAGAAGATTTACTAACATTGAGTGTGTTGAAGAATAAGTTTGTGAAATAAGGAAGCATAGTGGTTGTAAACAAATTAATTATTATTTATTTTAGCACATTTTCATTATAACAAAAAAAAAAAAAAAATCCATAACCTTGCAACTTTTGCTTGTGAATGTAAGCATTTGATTTTTTTTGTAACAGTAAATTTTCATAAACTAAATCCTTGTAAATCAGGGGCTACCTGTATACAGCTGCTCCTCGACTTACGACGGGGTTAGGGACCCAAATCCAGGTCATAAGTCGAATTGGTCGTAAGTCGAAAATGCTTAAATAATACTTAGAAAATCTAAAATGAGTGTCTCTTTTTCTTCTCAGCACCACAAAACTCTCACTTTTAAGCTTGCCAGCCATTTTAAAGTGAGTTACAAACAAAAATTTTGTCAGTACAGTGATCCCTCGGTTAACGAGCGCCTCGGTTAACGAGATTTCGGTTAACGATTTACCTTCCATAAGATTCTTAACTTCGGTTAACGAGCAATCCCTCGATTAACGAGTTTTTTACGAGCCGACTTCAACATGTTTTCGCTTGCATTTGGCAGTCCACCAGCTGTAGTATTAGTCCGCCAATACAGTAATCGGTTTTAGGGCTTAAATTCCTTACTATTTTAGTAAATATCAAGAAGTTTATACTATTCAATAATTTTAAAAGTTTAATATTAACTTTTTTAGTCATTTTAACAATTATTGAACATAATTGAAGGTAAAGAAACTAGTTTCTGGCATGCCATCCAGCCTGTTAACACACCAGACAGGCGTTAGTCTCTCTCTGTTTTCAGTGGAGGTAACATCTTGCTTGAGACTCTCTTCAACTAAATGCTTTTTTCTGTGTTTCCAAGCAAATTATTGGTAATTTTGAAATTTATTTTACATATTGACAATATATAATGCAGTGCAGTGTTGATTTAAAGAAAATAATCTTGAATTACACCAAGAGAACTAAAATTTTATGGGTGAAATGGTGCCATGGGGTGACTTCTCTTCCACCCCAATGCCTTCTCTTCTCCCTTCTCCTCCACCCCCATTCTAATTCCCATCATCATCATCATCATCATCATCCAGGAGCCTTCTACATACACACCTCAAAGTAAGTGTACTTTTCTACCTTTTTTGTTGAATTTAGGCAATTTTCGGTGAGCTGGAACCAATTACCCAAAACCCATTGAAACAATGGTTTCGGTTAACGAGCAACCTGCTGGAACGGATTGTGCTCGTTAACCGAGGGACCACTGTACACAGCGCAATCACTAACGTTGGGACTCGAAAATACGTAATTTGAAAAAATTTTGGTACGACTGAGGCGGTCATATGTCCGGGTGGTTGTAGGTCGAGTATGTTGTAAGTCGAGGAGTAGCTGTATAATGTTACTGTGTCAACTTTTCTTTCATACTCCTGTACCACAACTTTACTATCTTGCATTAACACATTCTTACTCTTATTTCATGAAGTTCCATCCATAAAAATACTGTATTAAACAGCCAGTCTTGGAAAGGCTATAAATATACGAAATAAGATGGTTAAATTTTTTTTTGAAACATACCATTTCTGTCGAGTCCTTTGATATACATTCCCATCGTTCTCTGAACATGATATTCTTTATATCTGCTGGGGCTTCATCTGGCTCATTGCATACTGCGTCAGACTCACGAAACAGTGGATAATGCTGAAGGAAGATACAGGAAGCAAGATATAGGTATGTAACATTATTAACCAGTAAGTCTACACAAAGAACCAGTGTGATACACACTGTGGAAACTTTATTTGGCAAAAGTTGAAAAAGTGGGTCTTTACATCACTGAACTGCCAGCCCTATATGATTCACAAAGGTACTCTCTCTGCAAGCACTTTCCTGCAATGGTGTTCAGTGGTCAAATCAAGTACCCTCCCTCCTTCACTGTCATTCTTTTTCCAACAGCCTAATTAACCCAACTTCCCATATTTTACAACTGCTTATTTAACCAATATAATTAACCATCACACATATTACTGAAAGGTTCACTTGACAGATACAGTACTGTATACAGTAAATATTCAAAACTATATGTGAATGCTATGAGTTGATATTTTTCCCATATCTTTTTATTCAGCATCCTTTATTTCCTTACTAAGGTTTATGAACACTGTCTGTGTGAGGATAACAAAAAGTGTCTTCCATCACAGGTTAATACAGTAATACAATTTGAACATGAAAATCCTGGTAACACATTTGACAAAACCACACTTGAAAACTAATGACAGTTGTATGACAGTGACAAGAACTTACTTAGATGAAAGATGTAATTATAATTTGGGAGATTACTTGCCAATACAATTTACTCTTACTAGTGTGAGTCCAGGATTTTCTGTTAAGGGGATAAACTTCATGACAAGTACAGTAATGCTAAGAAAATTAAAAGCAAAGAAAGTTAAATTAGTACGAATTCTATGGATTTTGGAGTGTTGCAAAATGGACTAGCGGTACCTGTATATGTATAAATTTTCATATGCCGTATGGTTTAAGTTCACCCGTGCCAACTTAAAGCAACAAATGAATCCTCCTTGAGTTTTCTGTCTGACTGATGGATCCAGTACAGATAAATTCCAGAAATAAAATATCAATAACTGATCGTGGAAATACCAATTTAAAATCAAATTGGAAAAAGGAAACCTATGCCAGATGTTTCAGAGGCATATAATATACAATTTATTTTAAGTTATATAGTGCTAGATGTTAAATACCTCATCATTTGTCATAATTTATACCTGTATACAAGTCCAATATATTAATGTTTTTCCTAATGTTGTACTGTTTAGTGTATAGTTTTCTTGTGTTAATGATGCCTTACTTGCAAGATGATCGGATCACTGTACTGATGAAGTGCAAGGCTCTGCCAATGCCTACAAGCTTCACTGTCACCTGCAGCACAACTCAACTGCTCTGTCATGAGAAAAAAAATAGCAACAATAGATTAAAGGCTACATGATTATGTGTACAAGTGATAATTTGATCTTCATTGCAAGGTTTTGGAAATCATATGCCAAGCAATTTTACTACAATGTTGCTTCCCTCCACCTAATGTGTACATACAGTATTACTTCAGTTTCCGCTTCCAAAGGCTGGCTACTTCTACATACCATTTATATCACTGTTGAACACAAAAGAACTTAAAAAATATTTATATTCTGATCCTTGTCCATAAGCTTTTAAACATTATTATTTAATTACTTGTCATATATGTATTCAAAATATCTGACTTACTTGATATAATTTTGACCCTGTTTAAGGCTGGCTTACAAAGGAAACAGTTGTCTCCCTCCATGGCCATGCTGTTGAGGATGATAAAAGTGACACCCTCTATCTGAAGCATTTTCACTGGACCAACATCAAAGGCTCGTTGAAACCGATTCACAAGGTATGGATTTACACTGCAAAGAACATGACATATCAATAATAATGTGAAAAAAACTACTGATAACTAAACCAATAAAGAAAAAACAATGATTACCATGATTTTGAAGCTTATGGCATAAACTCCATTAACAGTGAGTGGGATGAGTGGTTTCTGAGGATAATTTTCATGTGTTAGTGGTTGTATTTAATTGAAACACTGTATGACATTATATAGCAAGTTTCTATGGTACATTTGTGGGTGTTACTAATATTGATAAGGAAGTAAAATGAACTTGCTGCAACAAACACAATCTGGCACCAGCATTACAGCCAGATAGATAGGTATTATTGTCAGTATACATCAAAGTCAGTTCCATACATGAATTATCTGTTAAACTCTGGTAGCAAATTCACGCTTTCGGAGGATGCATTTAATTTATACTTATTTTATGCACAATAAGGCATACTACATCGTCAGGCCGAAATATGAAGTTGTTCACAGTCATATTTCCTGCCTCTGCTGATGGCCGTGTAAATATTTCAATGTGATTCTGATCGTTTAAAATGTTAGTTTTTGCATAATGTAGTATTAATGATACGTAATTTGTCTTAGTATGCCTTATTGTGCATAAAATAAGTATAAATTAAATGCATCCTCCGAAAGCGTGAATTTGCTACCAGAGTTTAACATTTAATTCATGAATAATACTTCTGATAAACTTCCTACGTACTTACGTATGTTTGAAATAATGAATGTTTGTACTGTATCTGTATATAATTTAGGTAAATATCTTTCTCGTCAAATACGGTCATCCCAACGATTATGAATAAACTAATTTGAAATACATCCTGACTTCAGGACGAAATTGGACAGATCGAAACTGCCAATGAGCTGTAAGTCTTGAGAAGGGGCGGGGCATCTTTTCTCATCTGAGAAAAATGCACTATAGTGATGTATATTAAATATACAGTAGAGAAAAGTAGAGTAGAGTAGAGGAAGGTACAGTACACAATGAATTAAAAAATGTAAACACTAACAACGCTGCTGTTCAATGTGAAAAAAAAAAATCTTTACTGTCCATCACTTGTTTGATTTTAAGTGAAAAGTTAAAAAAGGAGCAATACTGTACAATACCTGTAATGAAAACCAATATCATGATTTCCAACAGCTATGAGGACATGGGCATCTTCTGGTACAGAAAACAAATCATGAAATCTCGCTACATACTCCACAAACTCTTCTGGCCTGCACCATTTCCCTTCATCAAACAAGTCACCTGTTTGAAAGATATCCAAATAATCCAGTAGTATATTTCTTATTACATCTTAATCTATGTACCAAAAATGAGTGCACTGTACAAAGAACAGGTTGGCAACAACAAATAGATCAAAATTGGAATCTATTTCATGAAACAGATCTATGTGGAAGGTTTTAAGATATTTCCTACAAAAATTATATACAAAACTATCTTTTAAAAATCTTCTACTCGAGATTACTGTATCTACTGGGATTTGATGCAAAGAAACATTTTTCATAATTTACCTAAGAATATGAACACATTCGGCTTGTGAAGGGCAACGGCTGTCTGAAAGGCACGGTGCATCTGCCACTCTCTGTATAAAATAGAAAAATAAAAAGCCACTGAAATTTTGACTTTCTGAATTTGAACTACACTACAGTAATTTTTTATTTTACATAGATGAAATTTATCTCCATGGAAAAGGAATGTTAGGTATGTTTCCTCACAGTTCTGACATTCTGTTTTCCTTATTACAAAAGTGGATTTACAGATAGATAATTAAGACAACATTATCTTGTAACTATTAAAAATGTTCTCTGGAAACAAGAGGAGGTAGAAATAAAGTACTTCAGAGGAATACTTAGAGTGGACAGCAAGAAGGAACAAGAATCATTAATACCAAGAGTGAACTATATTGAGAGACTTGGAAGGAAAACATTGATGAAAGGAACACATAAATTCAACGGTGGATAGTATCTAAAAGCAGTAAAGACTGAGAAAGTGGTAGATGGTTAGGGTGAGGAAGGTGCTGGTTGGGAGTGGAGTGGAATGGGCATATAGGAAGCAGCTGTGTGTGTGTGTGTGTGTGTGTGTGTGTGTGTGTGTGTGTGTGTGTGTGTGTGTCTGATCAAAGAACACAGTGGTGTGTAATCCATAATGTTAAATTCTATGAAGAAATAGGAAACAGGGTAAATAAAAATTTACATCTTGGGGACCTGTTGTGGAATGGGAACTCTGCAACAGAATACATCTGTTACAGCAGATCAGAGAGAACAAAAGAAGTGGGAATCCATGTTCCTCTTGATTCACCACTTTGAACCAGCAGCAAGAAAGGATTTGAGAGAAAAAAAAGACACAATCATATCGATTCCTTAGGTTAATGTTTCATACGTTATTACTAACTATTGCACTACCCCCATGCCCCCAGTGGCTAAACATTTGATACAGAGCAGCAGTCCCCAAAGCAGTTTAGTACTAACTAGGGGTACATACTAAAAATCCACTGTCCCCTGAGTATTGAACCAATTCTTTTCATTTCTGTTTAATTTTAACAATAAGCCATCTAATTACAATCACAGAGGGACACAAAATAAGAACATGCAAATAAAAAACATAAGTACAGTACTGTTTAAGCACAAAAAAGAAAGAAAAATACCACTCCGTTATATTTTTCTTCTTGAGTCAACACTGGTTTGTAGACTAATCTTAACTGATTTAGGATGTGTAGTGTCTATACTGTAAAAAAAATAAATTGAACATCAGGGTATCCATGTGCTGCTCACTCGAATTTGTAAATATTCACAAGACAAATGTACAACCAAAATGGTTAATTACATTTCACAAGCTATTTTCTTGTTAGTAAACATACTGTACATGTATGTACAGTATAGGATGAAACAATACAAAAATAATATTCCTATGAGAAAATCTAATAAAAACAACATTTACAGTATCAGTACAGTACTGTACTCACCAAACAAGTCCATACACAAAGCCTAGCCACCACACAAGTGGACACGAACAGCTGAAAATCTTCCAGTGCGGATGACTTCTGGTTCCTGTACTCAAACAATAAATCAGGATGTAAACCTTTAAAGGTTGAAGTAAAGATGGGGGTTGCAGAAGGGACAAAATCAGAATATGAAAGCAAAATAAAAATCCCACCAACTCCAGCATGTGTCCTTCAAACATAAGAACATAAGAATGGAGGAAACTGCAGCGGGCCTATTGGCCCATACTGGGCAGTCCCATTTACACCCAACCCCTATTGCTCATATATCCATCCAACCTATGTTTGAAGCTATCCATCACATTCGAGTCAATAATGATGTTTGGTAACTTGTCCCATTCATCCACTACTCTATTTCCAAACCAATGTTTACCTATTTCAAACCTAAATCTAAATTTTTCAAATTTAAAACCATTGTTATGAGTTTGCTCCTGGTTGGATAGTTTGAGTACCTTTGTTATGTCACCTTTGTTTAGCCCTGACTTCCATTTATACACCTCTATCATATCACCCCTCACTCTACGTCTCTCGAGGGAGTGCAAATTACGATGCTTTAACCTGTCTCTGTACTTGAGGTTCCTAATGCGTGGGATTAGTCTTGTCATTCTCCTCTGAATTCTTTCTAGGGATTCTATATCCATTCTGTAATACGGTGACCAGAATTGAACTGCGTAATCCAAGTGAGGTCTCACAAGCGCAAGATATATTTCAGGATAACCTCTTTAGTCTTGTAACTAACACTCCTTTGTATGAACTCAAGAACTGTATTAGCCTTGTTTCGAGCAAATACACATTGTTCACTTGGCTTAAGATTCCTACTTATCATTACTCCTAAATCTTTCTCACATTCATATTTCTCTATAACATCGTTGTTCATCCGATATCTGGTTTCTCTGTTTACATCTCCTAGACTAAGTACTTTACATTTGTCCACATTGAATTTCATCTGTCATTTTTCAGACCATTCATTTATGAGGTTGTTTTATAATAACGCCTGTGTGAATGACAAACTTTCCACATAAAAAGGGTTAAATCAAGTCATTGATCAAACATGTCCCTCAAATACTGTAAAATAACTTGGGTCAAATTTTATCCCTATGGGAGTGGGGGTGGGGAGGGGTGAGGTAAGGAATGGCTAAGTCTCTGACACTAATATACAAGACACCTCATTAAAATGTTCAAGAAAATTAAAAGTAAAAACAACAATACCTTTCTTCCTCTTACCTGCGTAGTTTATCAAACCAGTGTCCATTTCTGCTTCCTAACAAGTGGGTGTCTGCAAGAACCATGGCATGAAGCTGTGTCCCTTTATCAGTTATATTTTGATTGGCAGTTTGAGGATTCAATGCAGGCCAGTGACACTATGTTAAAGTAGAAAGATTTCACTATATGGTACTGTACTGTATATCTACTGTACAGGTGTATTTACAGTCATTACAATAAATGTACTGGACAAAGTAATATACAATATGATATACTACAGTACTTTACACAGGAAGGGTAAAGTACAACTCAACATTTTTAGTAAAACAACTTACTTGATATACGACAACATAGTAGTGCAAAAATTCACAATAAAAGATCACACTTGCGATAGTGACGGCTAATTTCACCAGGAACCGAAGATTTAGTCTAATTTTCGCTACCATCATCCACTCAGTAGTCAAGATGTACAGCCAAACATCCACTGAAAAATAAAATAAAATTCATTATACAGTATTAATAAAATACAATATGTAATATGAGTCTTAAAAGACAGCATTTGCATAGCCAGGTAAAATTATCAGACAGGTTTTAAAAGCCATGCATATAAACAATGCAGTAACAGCATACAGTTCAGCATGAATATAGACCATGTAGGAACTGTATGTGGTGTACAGTACAGTACATGGGCTGCAGAGTATACTGTACTGAACAGTTACTGTACCTATTTGCCTACAGTGCAGGTATATAACAATGGTATAGCTTGCAGTGTATATTTTAAGAGCTGCTATTGTCATAATTTAGGCAGTGGTTACCCGGTATGTGTCTTGTCATGGACTTTTACTTACTACAGTACAGTGCTGCTATTTGTCTGGCATTTGTCCTTGATTGGTCAAGATTGATGATGCTGATGATGTCATGACAGACAAATAACCACTATGTATGGCAGTGGCTGTTTTTCCGTCAGCCCTTTACTTCCCCCACTACTTATCCGGAATTCATTCTAATTGTTCGAAGCTTATGATACTGATCCTAGATTACCAAAGTAGGTCACTTGCAACTATAACCTAAACTAACCTAACCTAGATAACACTGTTAGTCATCAGACTCATGGGAAGAGGCTGCTTCGGGGAATTTTCAATAAAACAAAACTTGTTTCTTGCTTCACGAATAGAAAGAAGGTGGAGAAATTTCCTTGTATTAATTAAGAGTGAATACAGTGGCTGCCACTTGGGAACACCATGTTCACCTTCCACCTTCAGAAAATTTCCCTTAAGTGGCTCCTTCCCATGAGTCTGACATCTAAAGTATTACCCCACCCTACCTAACCTAACGTGGCTTATTCTAACCATGTTTGCAAGTGATTGAATTCAGTAGTCTAAATCACCAACCCTGACCAGTCAGACAAAATTAGCAGAGAAGGAAAGGTCCTTGACTGGACAAATAACTGCTCATACTACAAACGGGCAAGAGGCGACCTAATTGAGGTGTATAAGCATCTCAAGGGGCACTACTCAGTCGGGTGTTCTTAACTGGAGCTGACAGACGCTCGCCTCACAATGGGTCACAGCTCAAGGCTGAAGAAGTCGCAGATCCAGAAAACTGCGAGGGCAAATTTTTTCGGAGTGAGAGTTGTTAACTCTTGGAACAATCTGCCAGAAAGTGTTGTGACGGCACCGAGTGTGAGCTCTTTCAAGATAAGACTTGGCCAACACTGGAGCAGGTTAAGGTACATTCAGGAGCCGGTGTATGCCCAGTACTTGCCAACAGTGCGTAACAGAGACGTGACCGATCGCCCAAGTGGCTAAAGAGCCGATCAGTGGTGAAGAAGATAAAAGTAATGCAAAAGTAAAAGTAATGTATATTTACTTTACTTTATTGTCTTTGTCAATGATTGGCTCATTAGCCGCTTAGGCAGTCAGTCACGTCTGTTATGCATTGTTGACAAGTACTCGGCCTGGCTCCAGAACGCACCTAAACCTGCACAGTACAGTAGACAATGCAAATAAATAAAAATACTTCCTTTTACGGCAAAGGTGTAGATAACGGCTACCACCAGAAGGAATTGTCCGAATTAGTTGACTTTTTTTCTACACACTAATATCATGATATTAAACACAAAAATAGAAACGAACCATACCTAACATACCCATAGGTTGGGTATGTTAGGTATGGTTCTATTAGGTTCTTTGCATTATCGTGTTAATTTATGCGTTAAACAACTTACCTTAATATTGAGGTTGAAATACATCAGCAATGGCGAGGAGGAATTTGTGGTAGCGTTCACTATCATTTATTGGAAACGTCTCTCGAAGTGGGATTCAGCGACGTAAACAAAAAATGGCACCGGTAGGAGAATTGTGAAGCGGGAGTAAATAAAAATATATATATACTTAAAATCATAATAGAAAGTTGTCGTTTATTTTAATATACTTAAAATCATCAAAACAATAAATACAGCAAAAAAATAAAAAAACAACAAACAACTTCTGGTGGTAGCCATTATCTACACCTTTACCCGTTTTGCTTCCATGTTTTCCCTCCACTTGCCCTCTCAAGCCCTGCCCACTTCATTGAGGAATTTCTTGATTGAAAGTAGGGTATTTTTGCATTTACACACCACACATCCCTACCATTAATCTATTATCATATTCTAATAAGACGTCTAATTATAAGATAATTTTCATCTATTACACTACCAGCGGAAATGTACAATAACGAAGATAGCATATCCAAAATTGTATCTATTTTCTTCCATTAATCTTCCTCCATTATCACCTGCCTCACCTGCAATGGGTGTCACATAAATTATATGGAGCTGATTGTAAGTTTTTGGGAAAAAAACGAAGAAACTTTAGCATTTTTTCAATTGCATGGTGTTCTTCCAACCTCAGTAAAGTGTACTAAGAGCAAGACTGAATGTAAATATCGCAAAGACCAAGATGAACAAGATCCAGGCCAATAAGGTAAGAAATAAGTGATTCCATCATATGGTGAGAGTCGGTTAGGTTAGGTTAGGTTAGGTTAGGTTAGGTTTGGTTTGGTTTTTGTTTTAATAGTGTTTTTTGGTGTATTTTGCCATGATTTTTTTTCGGAAAACGTCCAACGAAAAAAAAAAAGATAAAAAAGGCTAATTTCCGCCAGAAATGAAGGTCATATTCGGTCTAAACACACACAAATACACTAGAAAAATATATATTTTACTTTCTAACAGAGTGTGGTGTGACAGTGCAAATTTACCGAAAGTAGTACTGTAGTTAGTGTGAGACTCATTCGGTTTTATATACAATTTGTATTTAGAAACATTTAATTTAGTTACAAAAGCTATTTTCTAAAGTTTTACTATAACAAGAATTTATAGTAGCGAGTCGCGACCCTTTCCTTAACCATTACAACCTCCTGATACACAGTGTAACACCATGGTCACCCAACAGTGAAACTTGAACAAACAAACTAAAAATACATAAGCTGAATATTACACTTATTTACTTATTATATCAAGCGAAAATACATTACATCAATAACAATAAATTGGCATGGAAACTGTACAACATACTTACATGACTGATATTTTTATTTGATAGCTGAATCAGTTATGAGTCTCCTTACAGGTCCTCCTCCTCCGTGGGTGTAGTTGTAGTAAAGGAATCCTGCTATGTTCAGTACATTGGTTCAGTACATTGGTTCAGTAATTACATAGCAGAACACCCGTGACACTCCTCAGTATCGAGCTCGTCTTGCATCACCGAGGGTCGGGTCTTAACTCTCAAGTCAAGTCCACTAACGTAAATATCCTCAAATCTCAGTAAAGAAACTTCATTTTTCTCATAATGTATAATTCTTATATTACTTAAATTTGTTCTTATCCACACACAAAAATGTACATAAATTTACTTGGATGTGGGAGATATTGCATACCGGTATTTAATTTCATAATAAACTACCCGTAACCCCTGACCCCGCTACCAACACTTGCTGTAAATCAATAGATATTTATTCCGTAAAATCGTCATGTATATTAACATTGGTTCAGCAAGTACTGTAGAAAGTGTAGATATACAAGGTACATATTCACAAAAGGTATCGCTATACAGTAAGGAGGTGGTTCTAGGTAACATGGGGTTATCGCTTTAAACCAACATTAAACATTTGTGCTCGCTACAGATAAATAAGATTCTAAAGGTCAATATGTACACAGCTAACTATACAGAGGTCATCTAACACAACATAGATGGTCTTTAAAAGCAGCGAACACAATACAAAGATGGTGGTTATAAGCAGCTAACACCAAAGTTTAAGATAAATAACTTTGGGTAATACAATGCAGAGGTGGTCGTTATATGCAGCTAACACAATAAAGAGATAATCGTTATTAAGCAGCTAACACATTACAGAGGTGGTCATATAAGCCCTGCCCACTTCATCAAGGAATTTCTTGATTGAAAGTAGTATTGTAGTTAGTGTGAGATTCATCCGTTATTATTATTATTATTATTATTATTATTATTATTATTATTATTATTATTATTATTATTATTATTATTATTATTATTATTATTATTATTACATTTTCGACCCCAGGCCCCGATGTGGGTCAGTGACCTGCGCCCGGGTGGGCTAATCCCTGTAAAAAAAGGTAAAAAAAAACGCAGGGGTGGTCATATAAGCAGCTAGCACAATACAGAGGTGGTCATATAAGTAGCTAGCATTATAACGTGGTTGTACTATATGCAGTTAACAATATATAAAGTATATAATTTATAAAACTAATAAATTAATTAACTGTTACCCATAAATTATTCTTAAACTAACTAACATATGCAGAACTTTATTATTAATGACACGCGAGCTTAACTTTTGCCCACTTTGCTTTTATTGCAGCCTTTAAGTTTGTGTCCAGATTTTATAGAATGCAACAGAGAGTTTTATCTCTCAAAACTTTTAATTGTCGTTGAATTTGTGCAATAACTGACCTTGTTTACGCGCTTAACAGGGACGCACCCAGAAATTGAGTAGGGGGAGGGGGGGGTCCAAATTACTGAGAAGTCTGGCGAGCGCAGCGAGCCCTTTCAACTGGGGGGTCCGGGGAGGGGGGGGGCGCTGTAAGCCCCCCGGACAAATTTTTGAAATCTGACCAATATTTGACGCCATTTGGACTGAATCTTAGGAAATAATCTGAGGTTGAAGATGGTATAATTTAGGTGCATTCAGGTGCATGGGAATGGCAGAGGTGGTGGAAGTTACCGTGGCGTGGAGTGAGGTCAGGTAAACTGACCCAACCTTCGTGTTACTAAGGTGTCGCCAGGTCAGGTATGGGTTGGCCGCACCATGCAGTACCTGGAGGGGGGGGGGGTTTCCGGGCACCCAGGAAACCCCCCTGGGTGCGCCACTGCTTAAAGACTTGACTTGTTGTAGCGCAGTAATAACATCATAACTACAACAACGGCATATTAGTTAACAAGACTAACTGAAGGGGAAAAGAAGGAAAGAAAGGAGAACAATAAACGCTAGGATTATATGGTATACGGGAAAGAATTGCCAACAATTACAGAAGTCAGGAAGTGAAGATACAGTCATGCTCTGTGAACACCCAGGGAAAGCCTCAGTCAATGATAACTTCCCGAGCGAGGAAAGTGTGTGTGTGTGTGTGTGTGTGTGTAGAGGTAGGACACAGAATACACGGGACAGAAAAACACTGAGGAGAGGGGTGGTGCTACTGGTGCTTCTGACATAAATGTACGTACATTCCGCCCCTGCCATTATTGTCTGTGAGGTAAAGAAATAACTACACTATTTGAATAATCGCATGGCTAACCTTTCATTAATATTATGTATGGATTAACGTTTTGGTGGTTCATAAATATGTGAATGTCATTTTCATATCACATGAAAAAAAATCGTTGCATGGAAATTTCTGGTATATAACATGAATATTATTTTGCACATTGTGAAAAAGTTTGGAGAGGAAATAAAAGGATATACTGTACAGTTTATGAGGACAACCTTAGAAGTAGTTTCACACTCCCTTCATATCGCATGTCAAGAACTATTATTCTGTGATCATGTCCCTGTATCTGCTCATAACAGTTCAACATTCACAGGTGTGGCTGGTGGCCTTCTGAAGGAAGACAACGTTGAATCATCACATCCTTCCACGGGCGCAGCAGACCCATGAAGGACAGGATGTTTTAGAAATATAGACAGTCCGAAATGAACATTGTTATTTGTGGAAACCAAAGAGAGCTTAGTTGTGTTCTGGAGTGTTAATGCAGGGTCATGAACTTCCCGTAACTTTGGCATAAAGTAGTTCCTGGCATAATAGTCCATAATACTGTATTATATGACCCAGTTACTCGCAGTATCTTTTGCTTCTCTATAGATACATTAAGGAAGAGAAATAATAATTTAATTGGGAAAACCAACTGTTAATGTTTAACATAATAACTCCGTCTCTTTAAGGAGAAAATTTATCCTTAAAGAGACTGAGTTTAACACATTATTTAATAATGTGTTAAACGTAAAATTTCGACTTCTGAGTAAATATTTGTAATAGCAACGTTTCGAATTGCAATCTGCCAAATTTGGGTATTTTTTTCCGAAACCTGACTTCAACGATGATAAACCCCGGCTGACAATATAACACAAAAATAATCATATTTTTTAATCTATAAAAAGTGAATTGTCATTCAGTATGGAACACCTTCAGGACTCCCCCCCCCCCCTCGATTTTCTTTTCATCACCTCACGGTTGTTAGTTCTTCACAGTATCCGAGGCAGCGTGTGTTCCACTCCTCAGGTGTGTGGTAGATAAACAAAAAGCAGAAAAACTGAAGAGCAAGTCATTTTTATGCATACTTTCACAGAATTGGAACCTGAGTTACATTTCCGGGTAAATTTGCTCGATGTTCGCCCACACACGTCAATTCTTTAGAGCGGAAAAAAAGTTCGAGTTTACACAGGAAATTGTGGGACTGAAGTCAAGGCGTCATTTACAGGGAAACAGAACAATCCTACATTTCAACAAGGTCAAAGAAATTTTCTTTCATAGTTTGATTCACAGGGAAATTTTACAAGATAGTCACTAGGTGAATATGTGGAAATACTGTCTACGGCATAACATGATCCTGGGTTAACCAACAGCTTTAACGTGCTTTTTCATTAAGATTTGTCGATCGATCGTCTACTTTTAACCCGAGGAGTCTGGCTGCCTCCTGCTTGATGTACAGTACAGCAAGGCCCATCATCCCCCTTTTGCGAGGCGGATTTTTGGGGGTAATTGTACAACACACATACTGTATTGTGTCATAAACGGCGAACCTATAAAGCTGGGGTTTGGGGAGGGGGCCACTATAAGCGCCTGCCAGAATTTTTTTTTTAACTTTTACAAATTTCATGGATATTTTGAGGCCACGTGCACTGGGTATTAAAACAAATGGTTTCGAAACGATATTTATGTTTTCAAGTCAGGGCATACCGTTTACACAGACCATCCGTGGCTCTTTTGGTGAGATTTAACTTAAATTTTTTTTAAAGAGACAAGGGAGCTTCGTTTTATCACTTCGAGACCCCCCCATGGTGACGGACTTGTCCAAAGGTTCCATTAAAAACACCCAGTGCAACACATCTGGGATTTCCACTCCCCTGAAACTCATCCCGGACATACAACTACTTCCTCAAACTATGTGATCACTGAGTGTCCACCTTCATCCTGCTTCATTCCCATCACCCCCCCCCAAGTGACGTGACGCGACATTACTCACAGCACTCCACTGTACACCTGCTGCAGATATGACTCACGATATTCGAAAAAAAAACATGTTGAAGATCTTATGAATGGCTACACCACTGTACGTGTAATCAGCCTTCCCACCATACCACAAACCACACTGATGTATATTAATTCTTATATTCAGTATTGGAAATGTGAACTCTGCTCAAAAGAGCGCTTTTTGCCCCAGGAACTATCTCAGGCTAATAAGTACAAGTAGCGGTAATTTTCCATAAGTTATCTACACTTAAAACTTTCAATAAATTAGTAATATTAAGGAAACTGATTAATTACTTGGTACCAAATTTGCGATTTATTCATTTACTCCAGAAAGAAACCGATAAGCTTTGTCAATATTTCTTATTTTACATTCTGATATATACAAATGCCTTCGTCTTATAACTGCAGGTGTTAACATTAATGAAATATAGCTGTTCGGTAGCTATAAAAAGCCTTCTATACAGTATCTCAGACGCTATCCCCTCGACAAACTTGAGTAAAACGGTGAGTGTTACTGTATCCACTCCCAGTGTTAGCGTGTATCTCTCAATTTATGTCCTGGGTTCAAACCTTGGCCCGGAATAGCTGTGAGAAGGGTGTTATATCCAGTTTGGCTTCAACAATAACCTCAAGTTTTCTCCTACACTAACACAGGACAATACAGGTCACAACAAAGTAACAATGAACAGACCAACGCAAGAACAGTGACCAAGGAGATAAGTGATGAAATGATAAAAAATAAGACATCTTTATCTTCGGTCCTGTGAATGTAAATTTATGGTCTGGAGATTATTTTAATGTTTGTATAATACTTTCCTAGAAGAAAAAATGTATATACGTTATACATCTACCTCTTTATGCTCGTGAGTCATAAATACCACACAACGGACGAAGGATTTTGACAATCTATGCCGTGACAACAGGAGTCGCAGTGTTCATTTTAAAATTAATCGACCCTCCCCAGAAAAGATAATTTTCTGAGCGACTGTACATTGCGTGAGTACTGTATTAAGTGAGAACCTGAATTACTTACCGCGATAAATTGTCAAGTCCACTCATGCCCTTCGTTGGCTGATGAACACTATCACTTTGTTGGGTTACTGAGATCCTGTTTATTGGTGTGGTCTCCTCTCCATGTTCGACATTGCTGCTGAAGATTAATGCTGAAGATTAGTCCATCTATACATATTGTACCAGGGTTATTTTCATTGTAATACCTTTTATATTTTATTGTATGAAATCTATTTAGTGAGACATTTCTGGGATGCTGTTATCAGAATGCTAAATTGATTTTCCATGAAGAGTTGGGGGTGGG